CTCGAGGTCAGGTGTTCGAGACCAGCCTGGCCAACATGGTGAAACCCTGTCTCTACTGAAAATACAAAAATTAGCCGGGTGTGGTGGTGGGCACCTATAATCCCAGCTACTGGGGAGGCTGAGGCAGGGGAATGACTTGAGCTTGGGAGGCTGAGTTGTAGTCAGCCAGGATGGTGCCACTGCACTCCAGCCTGAGACTCTGTCTCAAAGAAAAGGAAGGAAGGAACAAAAAACTCTGTAAATGTTTATTACATGAATAGTGTATATATTTTCATCTGGGACTCCAAACCTCCCTGGTCCCTCCCCAACTGCTAACACAAAATCCAGTCCTCTTTCATAATCAATACCTTTCTTAACATCACCCTTATCTTAGGAGGATCAAAACCTCTGGGTCTTCTTTAATTTCTTCCCCCACATCACCCCATTTCAATCAGGTCCTATCCACCTGCCTCCAGCATCTCTCCTCTTTCCTCTGAACCCATCACCACCCTCCTAATCCACACCTTCCTCTTGATGGAGACCAGAGCAACCACTTCTTAATTCATCTTCACTCCTCAGCTCCTGATTTCCAGTGTGCTGAAGCTCTTCAAACATCCGGCATACCAACTGTAAGCCCATGCTGTGTCTAGCCCTGAGGATACAAAACCCCACAAGACACTGTCTCTCCTTTTTAAGGAGTTTTACAGTCCAGTGAGAGAAAAAGGCACATAAACAATTGTTTCGATACGGCGCAGCATTCACAGACAGAAGCGTGAGCAGAAAGGAAGGAGAGTCAGAGAAGGGGCATCTAAACCAGCCAGGGGTGGGTGGGGAATGACACTTATGAGACTGCAGTAAAGAGTCCACGTGCCAGCCTTCCACGACACATCTTCAACCCAGCACCCTCCCAGCTTTGCTTCCTGGACCCTGTGCTCAGGGCCACCAAATGGTTATGCAAGCTGTGTGCTGCTCAGGGGCACCTGGCTGAGGGGCAAGGTGGGACTGAAATTCGGCCAAGTGTTATAAGGACACCTGCTTGGAGGGAGCACCTTTGCCTGACCCGGTAAGCTCCCTAGAGGCCAGCAGTAGCCCTGCCTGGCCTCTGCCCACACGCCCTGCAGTGCCCACTCCCCAGTCGCTATCTGATGACACCCTACTCTCCTTCGAGACCCACCTCAAGCATGCCTCCTCCAAAAACCTTATCATCATCCCGCAGCCAAACAATTCTCTCCCACCTCTGGGTTCCTCCGGCATGTGGTCTCTCTCAATCAACAATCATCATCCTTGATCATCATCGGGTCTCGACTGCGTCCTGCTTCTGGCTACAGCCATTTGCATCCATGTATCTTGTCAGCCCCTTGAGGGCAGAGACCATTTTGTTCATTTTTGTATCCACCATAGCACCCACCACAGATTCTTACACAAAAAAGGTCCTTAAAATATATCTATGGGGCAGGTGCAGTGGTTCATGCCTGTAATCCCAGCACTTTGGGAGGCTGAGGTGGGCGCATCACTTGAGCCCAGGAAATCAAGACCAGCCCGGTCAACATGGCAAAACCCCATCTGTACAAAAAATACAAAAAATTAGCCAAGCCTAGTGGCACACACCTGTAGTCCCAGCTACATGGGAAGCTGAGATGGGAGAATTGCTAGAGCCTGGGAGGTCAAGGCTGCAGTGAGCCATGATTGCACCACTGCACTCCAGCCTGGGCAACAGAGCAAGAACCGGTCTCAAACAAACAAAAAAATAAATAAATAGAATACATCTATGAAGCATAAATGCTGCCATTTAGCCATGAAGCCATTCATATTCCTTCCTCTAGACAGACAGTGTTGAAATGCTCACGTCCTCATTCATTTAATAAAGAATGCTCATCTGCTTTGTTTACATGCTGTGTCTCTCATTAGATTGTGAGATCCTGTGTGTCTCAACTTGAGCAGGCTTCCATCAATACACAAAGAGTTCCCGTAGGAGCCTGACACACAGCACACAGTAGCCTGTGGAAGAATGAGAGAGACTGGAGCACAAACCTGTGGTGAGTGAGACAGGGGATACCGGAGTCAAAGATGAACAAGACACGGTCTGTGCCCTGTAGAAGCCACAATGCCTGTGATGCCCTCACCACCACCCTCACTACCACGCTGCTGGGTATGTCATCTCAGCTCATATGGAGTGACCAAAAGGACCAGCAAATATTCTCTGGTTTCATGCTTCTCAAACGTTCCCATAAAAGTAGGCCACACAGCAGGAGAGCCCGAAAACACGTTCCCCCAGAAGTTGGAGGGCAGAGCCTGAGCCTGCCACAGCCAAGCACAAAATGCCTTTGATGTCTCAAATTGTATCTTTAAAAATTCATGTACATTTTGCATTCTACTTCATAATATATTCACGATTATTTTAACGTGAAACTTTTTGAAATTACCTAATTTTCGTCCCATTCCAAATCTTCAAGTAAACTGGATGCCCCAGCCCGGGTTCCCAGTCAGAATTCACAAAGTCTGCTTTGAGAAGTTTAGAGCTGGTCCCGATCCCTCATTTCACAAATAAGGACGTAGAGAGGTTAAGTGACTTGTCTAAGGCTATATGACTAGTGCGAGAGCCAGGAGCGGGAACCACGAGGCTTTCTCCAAATCCAGAGCTCTTTTCATTCATTCATTCATTCATTCATTCATTCATTCATCCATCCACTCATGTCATTCATGTTGGTGCAGAACCCGCTGGGTGTCAGGAATCAGGCTCCAATTAATGAATGAGATAAATACAGTCCCTCCGCTCGTGTCACCCAGTTTACAATGGTTTAGATTTCTACTTGGGGTACCTTCCAGAGTGGGAAGACTCCAAGATTCTCCAGAAGAGAGATGAGCAAAGCATATCCCTCCGTGCGCTTTCAGCATGGAAACTGGTCTGCAACCAGTGCAAATGGAAAGCATAAGCGCCCCTCTTCTGGGCTAGAACCATTTTGCTAACGTGAAACCGGTGACCACAGACTCCTTCGAACAGCCTTGAAGGTCATCAACGATCTGGCCCCTGCCCACTCTGTAAACTCATCTTGCACCATTTCTGCCTCACCCAGCAGGCTTCACTCACCTGGCCTTTTGGTTCACTTGGAGCCACTTCCCTGCTCTGAGCCTTTGCCCACACAGCCCCCTCTCCCCAGAACGTTCTGCTTGCCTGGCCCACGTGCTCTTACGGCCAACTCTTTCTCATTCCCTGCTTCTCCGTCACCACCTGGCAGGGGCATAGTCTACACACATCCCATCTTCCCTATCCCAGTACCACATTAATTTCCTTTATAATCCCTTGGGCAGGCATTTGTGTTGTTAATTACAACAATGGCCCTCATTCTTCACCTTTCCCTGTCTTTTGTGGTGAGACTTTGAAATGTCATCCATCTTTCGCCATGAGACTTTGAAATTTTTCTCACTAAAGAGGTATAGTCTATTCCCTTGTCCCTTGAATCTAGGCTGGCTTTATGACTTGCTTTGGCCAATAAAATAAAGTAGAAGAGACTATGTGAAGCCTTGTGTGTTTCTACTTGCTCCCTTGCAATTCAGTCCTCAGCATGGGATTCTGCCTAGGCGAGACTGCTGGGAGATGAGAGGTACATGAAGCAGAGAAAACTAATCACACTCAGCTCAGCCTAGGCCACTGTGACACCCCCAGACAGATGAGTGAACCCAGCCAAGATCCACAGAGCCACACAGATGACCCCACATGTATGAACAATAAACACTTGCTGTATGTTGCTCTATTTTTCTGGTTGATGGTCACACAGCAATAGCTACCTAATAGTTTGTTTAATTATTGTGTCTCAGTCCTAGACCAGAAGCTCCATGAGAGAGAACCATGTCTGTTTCATTCACCGATGTTTGCACATAGTAGGTGCTCAATAGATGTGCTGAATGAGTGAGTATTCCTACTTGGTCAGGCTGGTGTGTTGCTCACCTCTGTGTTCTATGTCTGTTGCATTCTTGCACAAGTGTAAGGAGTGAGCTTAACTTCGAGAATGACCTTCTAAACCTCCCAAGGTCAGTTAGAACTATCCTCTCTCCCAGTCCTGACTACAGGGCTGACCTCGTCTACACCTACAGAACAGGGAAGCATCGACATCTAGAAAATGTCCTAGATAGTATCATCTTTGATCCTCACTCATCTTGATGTCTACCATCCTCTTCCCATGAATGAAGACATCAATGCCTTTGTTCTTTAGCCAAAAAGATGCTCCTCAGGGGGCCATTGGAGTCCTTCATTCCCAAAAGCCACTTGTTTCCCCAGCATGGACAAGCGGATGGGGAGATGGGAAGGAGAGCCGGTCAACCCTCCAGTAATTATGACTAAGAACAAACTCCACAGGAGAAATGTCTCAGCAGGGCCTTTCCAGGCAGGCAAAGCAGGGGAGTTCAGAGAAAGTACTTCCCTGCAACTAGCCCCTTGGCGGGATCTCAGACTCATTTGGAAACAGTAGTCTAAATTAGAGAGATAGGATGAGGAGCTTCATAAAGCTATTTTAAACAAATCTCCCTGAAAAACACTAGGCCTTGGGGGTGGGGAGAGGCCTTCTCTTTAATTCTCCAAAGCAAAGCTGTCACTGAGAGAGAGCTTTGTGTACCACGTTTCCCTGTGGCTCTCACTGAGAGAGCTTTTTCCCCCTGGCTCTCACTGTGAGAGTTCTCGGTTCCCCTAAGAACTCCCTAAGGTATACTAGGCAGCCACACAGCAATTGAGTCAGGTGATCCCCTCTCCCACCCACCATCTTCGCCCACCCTGTCCCCTGATGAGTGGGCTTAGGAGAACAAGCTCTGGTTGCTGTGGTATTAGGAAGTCCCCCATGAAGAAAGTTAGAGGAGTATGGGATGAACCTGATGACCTCTATAAATGGGGAATGGAACCTTCTAGACTCTCACCCTACCCTTCTTCATTTGCCTCTCCCACGTGCATGCCCCCACCCCTAGGAATCACAGATTTATTTAGGAGGCCCCTCTTTTTGGAGTTGGCTCCTCCGGTCCAGCTTGCTCATGACCTGGGTGATGTCCACGGTGTTGGCTGCTTCTCGGGCCTTGGCTTCCTCTTCCAGCTGCCTCAGGATGACAGGGCTTGGGCTGGATCGCAGGTGACGCCGCATAAAAGGGAGGGTGGAGCTGGAAGGAAGGACAGATTGGTGGTTGGAGGAAAATGACACAGCTTGCCCAACACTGACACTCTCACACTTGGAGGGAGCTGGGGCTGGAAGGTCCAAAATCTAGATTTTGTTCTCTCCTTTTCCCAGTGAACCTCCAGTGGGGTCCAACCTTGCCTCCATTCACCCCACTTGGAGGATAAGACCAGAGGGAGTACCAACTGCCATTAGATTTTAGGTCAGGCACAAGGAAGACCCTTTGGTTGGCGAAGTTGCATTGAACTTCTACAAGATTTAGAAACCAATTTGTTTTCTTAACTTCTTGTAACATCTTCATGAAAGAAGTGAGTAATGAAGGTTTGGGTACTGGAGATAGTTGGAGCATTTATTTGTTTCCTTTTCTTTTTTGGGGGTCGGGGTAGCGGGGTCGGCACAGGGGACAGAGTCTCGCTCTATCACCTAGGCTGGAGTGCAGTGGCACGACTTTGGCTCACTGCAACCTCCATCTCCCAGGTTCAAGCCATTCTCATGCTTCAGACTCCCAAGTAGCTGGGACTACAGGCATGTGCCACCACACCCGGCTAATTTTTGTATTTTTAGTAGAGACAGGGTTTCACCACATTGGCCAGGCTGGTCTCAAACTCCTGACCTCAACTGATCCATCTGCCTCAGCTTCCCAAAGTGCTGGGATTACAAGCATGAGTCACTGTGCCTGGCTGGAGCATTTGTTTTCTAAAGCTATGGTTCTGGGAAGGAAGCAAAGAGCTGGACTGTCCAAGATAGCTAGGCCTCAATGAACAGAGAAAGAGAGAAGAGGCCTAAAAAGGGCTGGTGGGCTGTTGGTACCCTGCTCAGGTACAATATCTTGACATGTGCCAGAACCTTCTTCAAAGCCAAGCATGGATTCCTGGAACCAAACTCTCCCTGCCATGGCCTTAGGAGTCAGGACAAAGTTCGAGGTATCCAAGTGATATAACGGACAGTGAGCAGCGGAGCCACCTGTCTTTGAGGGCCCACGCAAGCTTGGAGCCCAGCACTTCAGCGGCAATGATAGACAAAGACCTACAACCTACTCCAGATTTCTAGACTACATAAGCCCCTTGAACTCTTACATCTATCTTAGGGAGAAGAAGGGCTCCCCTACCAGGACATAAAGCCTGATACTGACATTGGATCTCTCACCAGCCCTGCCAAGGGGAAGGCTTGGAACTAGGTGCAACTTGTCATGGAAAAATTAAGTTTGAATACATTGTCTTATACCTGGGATCATGGAACAAAATTCATACCCACTGCAGTTCTGGCATGGACACAGACCAGGCTTCACACTTTACGAATGCATCCACATGTAATTCTCACTCACAATAGTGAGAATTCTCACATCTGCCCCAACTTCTAAAATATCTGGAGAGAGAGGTATGAGACTCCTCTTCTTTCCCCTCATTACTTTCTGGCAGAACTTCTGGAGCTATTACGGGCCTTTCTTCTGGCTTAAAGTAGAAGCTTTTAAGTCCCCAGGGACACTGAACTCCCTTCCTTACTTGGTAAACCCAGAAGAATAGCACCACAAAGACTTTCTTTCTCTCCTTTTCATAACAGGGCCATTATCCTCAAGAATGAAACCAAGTTGGGTTGTTCTGTTTTGTTTTGTTTTGTTTTGTTTCTCTCTTTTGATAAAGGCTCTGGTCCAGCCATCCCCCTTTTGAATTGATGGAAGATGCTGGAAAGGAACCCGGTGAGGGTTGACCTGGCAAACAGGGGAACAGTCACTATGGGGGGCGGGGACAGGATACATGATTGCCAGTGGAAAAACCTCTTCCAAAGCCTTACAGTTTTGTTCAAGCTGCCATTCGATTACTATTTTGAATCTTCAATCCTTGCAGATTGAACTACCCCCAAAAAGAGTTCAATCTGCCCCTCAGAACATTATTTCGTCCATTGTCCCAGTGGCTCTACCAGATGAGAGGATCCACATCTCCAATAAGAAAAGTGAGAATGAACGAGTTAATGGACTTCTAAAACACGGTCCCCGGAGGCAGCAGGAATACCTGGCCCGTTACTGTCCGATTCCCCTCCGGTGAGCATTTTCTCTTGGGGTGCAGTCTGGTATTCTCTCTGAGGTCTTAGAACAATTTAAATACCAGGATGCAGCTTAATTAATTCCCATGCATCAGTCTGAAGGTAACATGGAGCAGTTTAAAAACCAAGGAGATGCTTCCATTTGTGATAAGGGTAATTATTGGTCTGATCATCCAAACTCTTTCAAGCCAGCATTCAGGAAACAAAACTCACTGGTGGTAATTACTAAGGAAATCTTGCTAGAGTGATTTCAGGGCATTATGAAGCAAATCAGGCACTCATTCCCTGAGCAATACTTCCCAATCCCCAATATTTTCATCAAGCAAATATCTCCATAATAGCCATTTGGCTGAAAGAGACCCTCACTTCTCTGTAAACTAAACAGCAGGCAGCCAGCAATTACAGATAATTCCACTTGCCTTTTCTTGGTGGTTTCCTGAGGTTCAATAGCTTTGGCCAGCATTTCCTTATAGATCGGAGATTTTAAATAGCGAGCATAAGAATCCTAGTGGGAACAAGAAAACAACAGTAATTATGAGAGGAAAAAAGGGTCAAATCAAACCAATACCCTTGCCATTTTCAAGCCTCCCTTGGCAGCAGAACGGAGAAGTTACGAGAATTTGTCTCCTTGGGTGAAAGGTGTTTGGGGAGGTGTTGAGAGCAGTGGTTCTCAAGTGTGGTCCCCCCTAGAAGCATCAATTTCACCTGGGAACTTCTCAGGCCTGCCCCAGCCCTCCTGATGAGAAACTCTGGGAGAGTCACCCTGAGCCTGAACAGTCTCAGGTTTTATAGCTCACAGCTTCAGATCCTATCAACGTTGTCTGTGATTCAGCCTATGTTGTAAATGTACCCAGTTGCATAAAAGCTGCTACAGTTAAAAGTACACTAGACCCAGAACTGCTTAATTTGTTTCACTGATTCTCATATGCTGCATGCTACATGCCAAACAGGTGAGACAGTTGGTCATGTACTGAGACATAGTCTGTCATCATTTGCTCACATGAGGATACCTAAACAATTAACAACTACCTGAACAGTCTCCAGGTAATCCTGCTGTACCTTTAAGTTTGAGAACTACAGTCTGTAACCCTACCCATGAAGTTCCACCTCGGAGTGGTTCAGTGAAGCCAGCATGAGACAAGAGGACACCCGACCTCTCCTCTCCAAGACTTTCTTCCAAGGAAGATGAGCAGCCAGGAGTACGGGGCCCACTTCTAAGCCACTGACAGCCCTGTCTGCCCTGTGTTTTGGGTGTAAAGGCAAGAGAATACCAAAGCAAAACCAAAAACAACCAACACTTAAGAGTCCAATTATGGGGATGTTTACTGGGACCCTGGGCAATTTCAGAGAAGCTTCATGAATGCTTGTCACTTTTAAGCCAGCGGAAAACTCTAGTCATACCCAATACAGGACAAAGCCCACTCAACAAACCAGGGATTGAGATATTTTTAAAAGTTATTGAAATGGCACTATTCTAAAGACTAAGTGGGAGCAGTAAAACTAGAATAGAGTCTAGGAATAGGGATCATGGAGCCACCGGGATACGTTGAGTGTATCACCATAGGACATGGCTGTAATGGCATATAGAGAGTCCAGTGGGCATATATGCCATTCTTTCCTGAAGTTACCTGACTGCTCCATTCTGGCTAGTAGCCGGCCTCCCTGGGCAGCCCCTAAAAGGCTGTATGAAAACTACTTTTTTTTTTTTTTTTTTTGAGACAGTTTCGCTCTTTCACCCAGGCTGCAGTGCAGTGGCAAGATCTCAGCTCACTGCAACCTCCACCTCCCGGGTTCAAACGATTCTCCTGCCCCAGTCTCCCAAATAGGATTATAGGCGCCCACCACCGTGCCCAGATAATTTTTGTATTTTTAGTAGAAACAGGGTTTCACCATGTTGGCCAGGCTGGTCTCGAACTCCTGACCTCGTGATCTGCCCGCCTCAGCCTCCCAAAGTGCTGGGATTACAGGCGTGAGCCACCGTGCCCAGCCGAAAGCTACATTTTTAGGAACCAAAACGTTTTAAAATACATTAAAGAGGATTATTAATAAAGAAACCCTGCTGTGAATCTTCTAGTAACAAAAACACAGAGACACCCCACTGATTCAAAAAAGGATGAAAATGGCTAATCTGCCTTGGTAGCAATTCTAAATTATTACATGCTTTAAAAACAAAGTAAAAATATTTTAAAATGATACAATAAAAGACTAAGTAGAAGAAATGTAAATTAGAAGAAATAAAAATCAGGAAAGCTAATCAGCATTTACCATTCACACAAACCTATGTATATAACCTATATCATATAACCTATATCACATAACCATATCATATACTTTATCTCACATAACCCATATCACATACTCTATCTCATATAATCTATATCACATAACCTATATCAATAATCTATCTCATATAACCTATATCGAATAGCCTATGTCACATAGCCTGCATCATATAAACCACATCATATAACCGATCTCATATAACCCACATCATGTAACCTACATCATATAATCTATATCATATAACCTATATCACATAATCTATATCAGATAGCCTATATCACACAACCTATATTATATAATCTATATCACATAACTGATATCACATAATCTATATCACATAACCTATATCATATAATCTATCTCATATAACCTATATTACATAATCTATATCATATAACCTATATCACATAATCTATTTCATATAACATATCACATAACCTATATTATATAATGTATCTCATATAACCTATATCATATAACCTATATCAGATAGCCTCTATCACATTATAATCTATAGCATATAACCTACATCATGTAACCTATATCAGATAATCTATCTCATAAAACCTATATTACATAATCTATATCATATAGCCTATATCATATATCTATCTCATATAACCTATATTACATAATCTATATCATATAACCTATATCATATAATCTATCTCATATAATCGATATCACATAACCTATATCAGAGAGCCTTTATCACATTATAGCCTACATCATGTGACCTATATCATATAATCTATCTCATATAACCTATATTACATAATCTATATTATATAGCCTATATCATATAATCTATCTCATATAACCTACATTACATAATCTATATCATATAACATATATCATATAATCTATCTCATATAATCTATATCACATAACTTATATCATATAATATATCTCATATAACCTATATCACATAACCTATATCAGATAGCCTATATCACACTATAACCTACATCATGTGGCCTATATCATATAATCTATCTCATATAACCTACATTACATAATCTATATCATATAACCATATCATATAATCTCTCTCAATCTATATCACATAACCTATATCATATATCTCATATAACCTATATCACATAACCTATATCAGATAGCCTACATCACATTATAATCTATAGCATATAACCCACATCATATAACCTATATCATATAATCTATCTCATATAGCCTATATCACATAACCTATATCAGATAGCCTACATCACATTATAACCTATTATCATATAACCTACATCATGTAACCTACATCATATAATCTATCTCATATAACCTATATCACATAACCTATATCAAACAGCCTATATCACATAACCTATATCATATAATCTGTATGATATAATCTATCTCATATAAGCTGTATCATATAACCTATATCATATAACCTACATCATATAATCTATCTCATATAACCTATATCAGATGGTCTATATCACATAGCCTGTATCATATAACCTATATCACATAACCAATATCCATAACCTATATCACATAATCTATTTCATATAACCTATATCACATAACCTATATCAAATAGCCTATATCACATAATCTATATCCTATAAAAATACTTTGCCATTAAAGAAATCATTGCCATAATAAGAAGTTGAAGCATCCAAAGAAAGTCTTGTCAAGGATGGCACCAAAGAAGAATCAAACTAATCAACTTCTCTAAGGCTAACTCTGAGCCTCCGATTCTAGTTTCTTAAGAAAATGATTGATTTTTCTCTTAGGTCCCCTTCATGTATTTTTTTTTTTTTAATTCCCACCACATTCACACTTTGTTAATAATCCAGTGGGCTATCTGGATTCTCACAGGGTCTTACTACAACCACACACACACAAATTTGTCTCTTCTAGACACTATGCCTCTATGTGTAATATTTGCTTAGGGCCAGGGTGGTGAGAATTGCCATCACTCTACAGCAGAAACTAAGAGCTCGGCCTTGAAACCCAGGCAGACCTGGCTATGAATCCCAGCCCCATCTCTGGTGAGACCTTGACCAAGCCACTAGATTCTGGAGCAGCAAAGCCTAACTTGTGGGTTGTCTTTGAGCATAAAGTTCTGAGTTTTGCACAGTAACTGCACCTTATAAGCTCTCAATGAATGAAGGCTGTTATCATAATGCTAGCATTACTAATGCCATCACTCCTACCTGCGTACTACTGCAGAGTGGGGCCCGTAAAGATGCACACAGCTTCTACAGGAGTCCCTCTAGGCCCATGAGTGAGGGGCTCAAGGCAAGTCCACTCCAATAGACAGGGGGAAGAGATGGCTGACAATTCTGGGGGTTTTTTTTCTCTCTCTCTTTTTTTTTTTTTTTTTTTTAAATATATATAGAGACAGGATCTCACTGTGTTGCCCAGGCTGGTCTCAAACTTCTGGGCTCAAGCAATCCTCCCACCTCAGCTTCCCACAGTGCTGGGATTACAGACATGAGCCCCCAAGCCGAGCTGCATCCTACAACTGGCAAAGCGCTGTCCACATATCATCTCCCTTTTTCCTATATCTAAAGAATTTTCCAAGGCCGGGCGCAGTGGCTCAAGCCTGTAATCCCAGCACTTTGGGAGGCCGAGACGGGCAGATCACGAGGTCAGGAGATCAAGACCATCCTGGCTAACACGGTGAAACCCCGTCTCTACTAAAAAATACAAAAAACTAGCTGGGCAAAGTGGCGGGCACCTGTAGTCCCAGCTACACGGGAGGCTGAGGCGGGAGAATGGCGAAAATCTGGGAGGCGGAGCTTGCAGTGAGCTGAGATCAGGCCACTGCACTCCAGCCCAGGCGACAGAGCAAGACTCCATCTCAAAAAAAAAAAAAAAAAAAAAGAATTTTCCAGGTACCTAGGGATGGAAGGCCTATCTGGACCCCGTATCCTCAGCACGGATCCACCTACCTTCTTCATGAGCATGTAAATGTGGGTTTGTGCGGCGTCCAGCACGTAACGGTGGGGGTGCTTCAGCCCCTTCACTGTGATGTCCATGGTCTTGCCGTCTATGTTGATCCAGCGCCTCGCCCCTGGGGCCAGGAACAGCCTGGAGTGGGAGGCAGACGTTAGTAAAAGTAACTAAACCAAGTCGGCTCATGAAAAGCTCACAGCTGCTCAGAAGGGAAGGACTGACACGACTCAGGTTCCCCGAGGTGAGGGTGGCAGTTTTTTTTAGGAGACACTAAACAGCGTGAACTTTTGAAGAGGCTGTCAAGCAATTTTTCCTCGAAGCAAGAAACATCCAGTATTGGGAATGCGAATATTTTAACTTTGATGTTTCCAGCCTCCAGGAGAGAGAGCAAGAAGGGGCTGGGGTAAGCTCAGGTCAGATTAGGCCCTGGCCATGAGGGTGAAAAACTCAGCCTCCAACTTCACACCTTCTACACCAGGATTCCAGGGCCGACCTGGGACCAGGCTAAGACACCTTCACACAGGTGTTCTGGGGGTCTCTGCTCTCCCTCTCCCAATCCAGATGTGCTTTGTAATGAATCTCACACGCTGCGGTGAGAGGCAGCCCATGGTCCCAGAACCCAGAGGTCTGAGCCCCTGGGCAGACAGGCCAAGGCTCCCAGTTAGACCAAACTTGGCCACACTTCCTGAGCCTGTGGCTCTACCTGGGATGCCGGGATGCAGAGCTCTTTCAGTCTTTCCAATTCTGAGCTGTTGCTGGATTAGAAATACTCCCATGAGTATTTTCCCACCTTTCTAAGATGTACCTTAAAATTTTGGAATTCAAACTGAGATTTACATAACTAGGGAGCCTGGGGAAGACGGAGAATCAAACTAATGGCAGAGGCAGCAGGCTTCCTGTAGCAGATTTTCGGAATTGGGAGTTGTGTGTGTGTCACTGTGTGTAAGGCAGTCAGGCACCCATTGTTCTGCAAAGGATGTCATGGAACCTTCCTGGACCGTCAGCCCTCCCCACTGCACCACACCCGCACCCCCATTTCTCTCAATGCATGGATCCCCTCCCTGTGGGAGGAGCTGGGCAAATTTGCAAGAGAGTGCATGAACCTCTAAGTATAAGAAGTGAGACCTCACGCTTTTCTCTTCAATGCTGCGGGTGCTTCTCTGGAAACCAGGGTGTTGCAACCTGAGTTCATTTGCAGGAAGGACATCCAGGGTCCAGAGGCTAAGTCCTCAGAGGAAGGGGCTGTTTGGCCTGCTGCCTGAAGTTCAGCACCACAGTCTCGTGGCCGCAAAAGGGCTGGTTCCAGCCCAGCGTGGTGCTTGGGCTTTGGGAAACACAGCGAAGCATGTGAGTATGAACTAAAAATGCTGGGCCCTCGGTGTCCAGGACTCATGTCCACTGCAGCCAGTGCAGATGAAAGAACCCACAGAGATGGGACCACAGCAGGACAGGAGCACCCGCCAGGCCTGCAGGGGGAGGAGCGTCGGGGAGGGGGAGTGTGGCTTTCAGCAACCTTGGGGGCCTCATCACACCTTCCCCCGCTTCTCCACTTGGCCATTGAAAACAGGACTGACCCTTTTAACCTGGAACCCTTGGCTCTTGTATAATTTGGAGGAGAGATGGGCCTGGAGAGGGACAGACTTATTGCTGCTCGGAACAAGTGGGGGCTAGAGCCGTGATGTCAGGATTGAGATGTGCCCAGCCATGTTTGTACCCCAAGCTGCGCTCACTGTCCCAGACACGTGGGAGGAGCTCCCTTCCCCTGTGATCCTCACATCTCTAAGGAATAGGTTTTCTCATGTTGCTGCTTCTCTCTCTCTCTCTCTCTCCCCTCACCCCCGCTCTTGCTCTCTCTCTCCCCCCTCACCCCCCCTCTTGCTGTCTTTCTCTCTCTCTCACACACACACACACACACACACGCATACACGCACAGCTCTCAGGACACCTAAGAAGGCTTTAGTCAAAGACAGAGCACTCTGCACTGTAATTCGGGACAGCTTGCTTTTTTAACCCCTAGACACATTCCCATAGAAACAGGAGACTCACACTGCGTGTCCCACCCAGCTTTCTTCAGGGAACCCCCAAACCTCCCAAAGCAGCGGGGAAGTATTTCTAGCATGGCAAGTACAGTGAACCGATGCTGACCAGGGCCCAGCCAGTCACCAGGCTGTGGTCCTCTCGTCCTATCTCCACCTCAAGCGCAATGGGGTGGTTCTCGGAGGCCCAGGGGAAGGCTTTCCAGCGCCCTGGCTGATGCTCACTTGTAAATCTCCTCTGCTTTCTCCTTGACCTTGGACTGGTCTCCGTACTTCAGATCCTCGCAGGCTTCCCAGAACCCCAGATTCTCTCCTGTGTGGTGAGAAGTCCACGTGGATGAGGGCCGGGCAGGAAATAAGTTGGGAGAAGAAAAGAGGAAATAAAAGAAATGAGTCAGCCGGGATGGATTCCATTTCCCAGCTCGGTGAACACCTTTCCTGCCACAGAACAAGCTGTTGTATATTGCGATGCTAGACAAAAATACTCCTTGAGGAAAGGAGCCACATCTTCACTTCTACAGCCTGGGAGAACATTGGGAACTTAGTAATTGCTCAATACGTGGTCTTCGAAATAAACTAGATGGGCACCTACCATGTTTGCAGCAATGCATTGACACTGTGGCGGCTTCCTTTCCTCCAACAATACACAGGCCAGTGTTCATATCACCCCCTAGAGGTTGTCATACGCTTTTTTATTCTAGAATTTGGCTGTAGCAAATATTGCTTGAATGAGTTCGCACATGAATAGGCTTATATGCATGCGTTGCTACACTACGGTTTTCTTCATAAAGACCTCCTTCCTTTGCTCCTGTTGAATGACTGTGCATGAGTTCTTCCTCCTTTGTTTGGCTGTGCTTAGAGAACCCGTCATTTCCAGTCCCTCACCGGGCATATTCCAGGCCGTGGTTCCTACAGAGAGGCTGCTCAAGCAGCAGTGCTGAGGGACTGACCCTCAGGGAAGGTCTGGCCAGGAGCAGGACTGAACTGAGCATCACCTGAGCCAGAGGGAATTGGCCCAGAAGGAAAAGCCAGGTTCCCCCAAATCCCTCATCTCCCTCCAACTGGAAGTTCTCTAACCTGCAGCGCCCAGAGGCACCATGCATATGTTCACACGGTGGCCCCAGGTGGCAATTTTTGCCTGGGAAAATAAAGATGATCACGAGAGAGCGTGTGTGTGTGTGTGTGTGTGTGTGTGTGTGTGTGTGTGTGTAAATCGTGGAGTGTGTCACAGTGTGGGGAAATGAACAACAAAATCCTCTCCTCTCCTTTCTCAGTACAGTTGACCTTGAACAACTAAGGGGTTAGGGCGCAGACCCCCATGCAGCGGAAAATCCAAAAACTTAACTACAGATAGCCTGCTGTTTACCAGAGGCCTTACTAATAACATGAACAGTCAATGGACACATAAGTGCATATGTATCTACATATCTATTGTATGGATTCATGATACCTTTTCACAACTTTTGTCTATTTCTAGGCTGTGCAGTTCATCTGCAAGTTTTTTCAGATTGCTGTAAATCCCCCCAAGTTTTTAAATATATCTACTGAAAAAAAAATCCACCTATAAGTGGTCTCGTGCAGTTCAAACCAGTGTTGGTCAAGGCTCAACTGTATTGTTTTAAAGCTCCTGGTGTTTCATATTAGAAAAGGCTGCACAATTCTAAACTAGTTGGCATTTGTCCCACAGCTCTGTGGAGGTCCTTCCTCTTCAGCATGAACTTTAGGGCGTTCTTTGGACCGAGATCACAGACCAGTGATGCTCTTCACTAAAATGTAATTGACCTGACAACAAATGCCATGTAAACTGTCTTGCCCACAGCAAAAGACAGTTGATTGCTTAGTAAAATTAAGCAAGCAATTATTCATGATAGCTAAAAAGTGGAAAGCACTCAAATGTCCATCAATAAAAGAATGGATGAACAAAATATGGTGCAGACTACAAGGGAATATTATTTGGCCTTAAAAAGGAAGGAGATTTCCGCCGGGTGCAGTGGCTCATGCCTGTAATCCCAGCACTTTGGGAGGCCAAGGTGGGTGGATCATGAGGTCAGGAGTTCAAGACCAGCCTGACCAACATGGTGAAACCCTGTCTCTACTAAAAATACAAAAATTAGCTGGGCATGGTGGCACACGCCTGTAATCCCAGCTACTCAGGAGGCTGAGGCAGGAGAATCACTTGAACCCAGGAGGTGGAGGTTGCAGTGAGCCGAGATCATACCACTGCACTCCAGCCTGGGCATCACAGCAAGACTCCACCTCAAGAAAAAAAAAAAAAAAAGGTTAAAATGGTAAAATTTATATTACATATATTTTCCCACCAAAAATATTAAATAAGCACACAAAAGTTCATAGCAGCATTATTCATAATGGCTAAAAAGCCAAAGCAACTCAAATATCCATTAACTTATGAATGGATAAGCAAAATGTGGTACATACAAACAAGGAAATAGTATGGGGTCATTAAAAAGGAAGGAAGGAAATATCATGCAGTCTTTAAAAAGGAACCAAGCAGCCAGGCACAGTGGCTCACGCCTGTATTCCCAGCACTTTAGGAGGCCAAGGTGGGTGAATCACCTGAGGTCAGGAGTTTGAGACCAGCCTGACCAACATGGTGAAACCCCGTCTCTACCAAAAATACAAAAATTAGCCGGGCATGGTGGTGGGCGCCTGTAATCCTAGCAACTCGGGAGGCTGAGGCGTGAGAATCGCTTGAGCCCAGGAGGCACAGGTTGCAGTGAGATGAGATCACGCCATTGCATTCCAGCCTGGGTGACAGAGTGAGATTTTGTCAAAAAAAAAAAAAAGAACGGAAGTACTGTTATATGCTGAAACACGGACAAGCCTTGAAAACATTATGCTAAGTGAAAGAAGACGAAAGGTCACATCGTGCATGGTTTCATTTATATGAAATGTCTTGAAGAGGCGAATAGGGGTAGAAAGTAGATCTGTGGTTGCCTAGGGCTGGGGTGCAGGAGAGGGAGGAATAGAAGATGATTCTAATGGGTAGAGAGTTTCTTTTTAGTGTGGCAAAAATGTTCTGGAATTAGTGATGATGGTTGCACAATTTAGTGAATACACTAAAACCCCTGAATTGTACACTTTTAAAAAGTTAATTTCATGATATGCAAGTAATATTTCAATTTAAAAATCTTTTTAAAACGTAAATGAGCAAATGGATGATTTATCTGCCCTGTTCATACCTAAAGCCTCGGGAATCTCATGAGGAGATTGCTAACAATACAGTTTAAATAACGCAGGGAAATCTTTTCGCTGGATTCTCATTAAGGAATGAGTGCGGGCGGGTGGGAGGGTGGAGATAATAAACTCAGGGTGTATGTTGTCACTTTGCCACTAGATGGCACTATAACCACTTATTCACCAGTCCATCCATCTTTTCTGGGTTTTGTTCTAGAGTGGCAATTAGACTTGATTAGGGAGGCGGATTATCAACAATCCATATTATCATGTAATGTTCTGCATCCGGCAATCAGCCAGGCTAAAGGCATGTCTAAAAGGCTAAAGGCATGTCTAAAGGCTAAAGATTCGTTTCTGGAGCAGTGCCACAGACAAGTGGATCTCGGGTAGTAAGCCGCTGAGTGCCAAGGCTCAAGCATGATGCCCCCAGGGCTGGGGACTGAGCAAGGAAATAAAAGAATCCCATAAGGGTAAATATTTCAATGAAGGTGGTGAATGCACAGCCTGGTTCTGATCTGGCCTCATGGTTTTCGCAGATGCTTCTCCGGGAAGTGCAGTATATTTAAAAAGCCAAAGGCCTGGTGCAGTGGCTCACGCCTGTAATCCCAACACTTTGGGAGGCCAAGACAGATGGGTCACTTCAGGTCAGGAGTTCGAGACCAGCCTGGCCAACATGGCGAAACCCTGTCTCTACTAAAAATACAAAAATTAGCCAGGTGTCGTGGCACGTGCCTGTAGTCCCAGCTATTTGGGAGGCTGAGGCAGAAGAATCACTTAAACCTCAGAGGCGTTGGTTGCAGTGAGCCGAGATTGTGCCACTGCACTTCAGCCTGGGCAACAGAGCGAGACTCCATATCAAAAAAAAAAAAAAAGTCACAGTGCCCCTTATGAGGTGACATCCAGAGATGGGATATAAAATGTGGCCCTGCCCATTCCACTAAAATCCACACCCTCTTAAGGCCCTGAAGCAATCAGGCCAGGAGCTAAGGTGATGGCTGTCGATCACCACACATTGGGATCATCTGAGGAGTTTCCAAAATTTCAGGGATTCCAACCCCCACCAATTTAAAAGCAACTTTAGGGATGAGATCCAGGAAAACATGTTTTAAAATATCCCCAGGCAGACTGAATGTGTAGAACCACTGAGCTAAAGAAAATCAGGAAGCCAGGCGCAGTGGCTGACGCCTGTAATCCTAACACTTTGGGAGGCTGGGGAGGGCGGATCACCGGAGGTCAGGAGTTTGAGACCAGCCTGGCCAACATGGTGAAACCCTATCGCTACTAAAAATACAACACAATAGCCAGGTGTGGTGGCAGGTGCCTGTAATCCCAGCTACTTGGGAGGCTGAGGCAGGAGAATCACTTGAACCTGGGAGGCGGAGGTTGCAGTGAGCTGAGATCATCCCACTGCACTCCAGCCTGGGCGACACATCAAGACTCTGTCTCCAAAACAAAAAAAGAGAAAAAGAAAAAAGAAAATCAGGCTGGGGGACAAAAAGAGAAAGAAAGGGAAAGACTTCCTGTCTCCCCTTCCTCCAGGTTCATTATACTTAGGCTGGAAGGAGCAGGGGCTCCTCGGGTGACAGTGGGGGCATCCAGGATGGATGGAGCCGTCAGAAATGTGAGGGATCCAAATGTGGATTCTGTGAGCAGGTGCAATTTTCCCCCAGACAGTGGGGCCTCTTTGAGTCTATGGAAAGAACGAGTCTTGGGCTCAGGTCCCATTCTTAAAGCTGTGAAAGGAAGCGACTGTTTGAGGGCATAAGCAAAGCTCTGAAAACATCTGCTGAGAAATTCCCCAAACCCTAGGCCAGACATTAAAGGACTCTTTCTAAAAGTAAGTTATTTTAATTTTTTTTTTTCTTAAACAAAGACCCACCACTGAATTCTTTCTTGAGGAAGTACTGGAAGCTCTGTCGACCTTTGGGGTCTCGGATCAATTCGCTGAAGTTGAAGGCCCATCGTTCCACTCGCATCTTGGTTGGGATTTCCACCCTGCAAGGATGATTTGTAAATGCACCAGATAGGTAGGGGTTGTGCCAGGCAGTGGCCTGGGTTGGGGTAAGGGGCTTTAGTCGAATGGCCCTTAGGGCTCAGTCCAATCCTCCTCCTCCTCCCAATCCCTGCATAACACACAAGCCAAGTAATTACTTGCTAGGAAGATTCAGCCACAGACAAGTCCCCTGGGGCTCACATCAAAGATATGACCATCCCAGAGGTGAGGAGCATGCCCAGTGTGGGGATCCCACACTCAGGTCCTGCTCGCTTAGCCTTAAGGACAAACGAATTCAAATGCTTCCTCCAAGGCCTGGTAACAGCCTGGAGCCTGGCCAGCAGAGGGTCAGGCTGCCACCTGGATCAGGAGAGAATTCTGGAGCAGCATTGGTGATGGGTGCTACAATCACTGCCACCTGCTGGGTGCCTATCACCCAGGACAGCTGCCCCTCCACCATGGCACGCCCTGGCTTCTGGTGGAAGCCGGTGGCTCCTCCTGTACCTGCCTCAGGCCACGTGCCTCAGAGTAGACCCATTTGCTGTCTCTGCACTCCCTTTCAGGGCTTCCTCTAAGATGCAGGTCCCACTGCGTTCCTTGTTTGGAAAGATTTCCCTGATCCCAGGTAGGACATTCGAGCCCAGCTAGCAGAGATCTAACATTCCAGAGAATCAGAAAAAGACTCAGTTTTCTCCCCTATCCCTTATGGAATTCTCCTAAACCTAACACAGACCTTTGAAACTAAGGTTTCAAGTCCATCACACCATGTTTCCCACTGATGTAGCAGCTAGGACCAGAACCAGGCACAATTCATGTCTATGGGATCCAAGATAAAGCCTGCCAAGCAAGTTTTACACTTTCCTTAAGAACAAGTGTAGAAACAATAAGAAATCCGATAACACTAACAGCTGCCATTCACAGAGCATTGCCCTATATGAAGTACTGTGTGTTACACACATACCATTGAATCCTTAAAAAAACACTATGAGTTGAGTATTACTATCCCATTTTATTGTCAAGAAAACTGAGGCTCAAAGAGGTTAAATATTTGCCAAGTCTCACATAATTAGTAAGAAGCTGAGTTGTGATGACGACAGGGGTTTGCAAACTTCCACATGCATCAGAATCACCTGGAAGACGCATTGAAACAGATTGCTGGGTCCCAACCTCACAGGTTCTGATTCAGTAGGAGTGGGTGGGGCCCAAGAATACGCACGTCTGACAGGTTCCCTGGTGCTGTGGATGCCGCTGGTCCAGGGACCACACTGGGAATCAATGCTCTAAACCAGCCTCAGAATCCTGGCTGCTTGTGAAAATCAGCAGAGCTTTCAAAAAACACCGATAGGGGTGAGAGAGCAACTCAGGCCAATTAAATAAGAGGTTTGGGAGGATAAGGCCTGAACATTGATGTTTTTGTTAAGCTTCCCCAATAATCGTAATAATGTTCTAAAATCTAAATCATTAAGAACAAGACTTCCCGCTTTCATGGGAGCTAAGCTATGAGGATGCAAAGGCATAAAGAATTACACAATGGACTTCGGGGACTCAGGGGAAAAGGGTGAAAAGGGAGTGAGAGATAAAAGACTACAAATTGGGTTCAGAGTATACTGCTCAGGTGACAGGTGCACCAAAAAAAAAAAAAAATATATATATATATATATATATAATAGGTTCAATAAACATATAGGATCCACGATAAAGAACAGGGCTTCCCACATTAACGGGGAGTTCCAGTTGTCACCCACCCAGTGCCCTCTGATCAACAGTTCTTACACAGAACACACCCTTTTCTTGTCTCCAGCAACCTCTACCTGTCTTCGATACCATGCTCCCCATTTTACTTACAATTCAGCTGCCATCCATCTCCTCCCCAAGCCCTCCTAGGATAAGCCTCTTCCTGGCCAGGTGCCCTGCCTTCTCCTCCAGGGAGAGCCGGCGTCTGCACACGCTTGTCCACAGGCAGACACAGGTCGCCTCTCTCATTCAGTACCCTGGGAGGCAGACACGGGCTGCAGAGAAGCACCCCGATAACCAGAGGCCACAGAGGATAAGGGAAGCCTCCCCAAAAGATAGCTCTAGAGTCTTTGGCTCTGCAGTTGACCTTAGTAGACAGGGCACCCCCAACTCCAGAGGAGTGGCCTCCTTAACCCGTTGGCTGCCCAGAGCGGGCCACGTGGAATAGGTACCAGTGTTGCTGGAGATGAGAAGCGGGACCCTCCCAGGCCAGGCCTGCTTACCCAGCTGGGTCAGTGTCACCTGTATGTTCCTCATGGCCTTGGCAGTGTTGACCCAAGCGGTGACCTATACCTGGCACTCCCTCCTTTCCCATCACCCCACCTCCCTCACATACTCAGGCCTGTCCTTTCTCCCCTGTCCTCCTCTCTCTCTCCCTCTAACTTGACCATTACACCCTTCTCTTCTTCCTCCCTCTGTGTGCTGGAACTCTCCTGCGTTTCTGCCTCTGCCCCCTCTTCCAAATAACACATGCGTGCAGGTCCAGTGAGCAAAGACTGTTCAAAACTGACAGACAGAGCCAAAGGGCAAGGGAAAGGGCAGGTTTAGGGCTCTGCCCACCCAGAACTTAAGTTTACTCTAATTAGATAGCAAACTTGCAAAGCCATACCTATGATTTTTTAATTTTCAAAACCAATCTGTTGTTAAACATAGAGTCACCATTTGACTCAGCAATTCCACTCCTAGATATACACCCGGGAGAAATGAAAACACGCCCACACAAAAACCTGCCCACGAATGTTGATAGCAGCATTCTTCATAATAGCTAAAAGGCAGAAACCACCCACATGTCCATCAGCGGATGAATGGATAAACAAACTCTAGTGCATCCATACCACGAAGATGATTCGACCATAAATAGGAATGAAGTTCTGATCCATGCTACAAGATTCATAAACCTTGAAAACATTATGCTAAGTGAAAAAAGCTCGTCACAAAAGACCCCATAGTCTTTCCTAGATTTCCTAGAAGCACAACACCCAAGAGATGAAATCAATACACAGGTCAACTGACCAGCCTGTCCTCTTTTCCTATATCGATTTGGTGACATATTTATTACTGTCTCCTTATAAACTTGCTCGAATCTAGTAGCCCTTGGGATTGGCAAGTATTTGACAAAATCAGTTCCTCTTCTACTTGTGAAATGAAACATTGTCTGCCATCCAGTCCCTCTGTCATTCCTCCAATTCCAATTGATGCCATTGATAGGAAATGTCCGGATGGACAAATCCGTAAAGATAGAAAGCAGATTCATAGTTACCTAAGGCTGGAGGGATCCAAGGTTTCTTTTCTGTGTAATGAACGTGTTTTAACATTGATTGTAGCTCTATGAATATAATAAAAACCATTGAACTGTATGCTTTGAATGGGTGAATTTTATGGCATGTGAATTGTCACTCAAAAATGGTTTTTTGAAAACACCAATATATAAAATACATACAATTTGGCATTTAAGTCCCAGAACTGGGTGTCATCGGTGATCCAGGGGTTGCTGGGAAGGCAGCCTGACATGATGGCATCGTTGGATGAGAACTGCTCACTGTATTTCACAATCCTGAAAAGCAAACAGAAAACAATTTCCAAGAAGCTCGACACCCAAGATATGACATCAATACACAGGTCAACTGACCAGCCTCTTTTCCTGTATTGATTTGGTGACATACTTATTACTGTCTTCTTTGAAACTTCCTCGAATAGAATAACCCTAGGGATTGGCAGGTATTTGACAAAATCAGTCCCAATCTTACTTGTGAAATGAAACATTGTCTTCCATCCAGTCCCTCTGTCATTCCTCTGTACCTATTTCTTTCTTTTGTTTTTCTTTCTTCCTTCCTTTTTTTGAGACAGTCAAGCTGGAGTGCAGTGGCACAATCTTGGCTCACTGCAGCCTCCGCCTCCCAGGTTCAAGCAATCCTCACACCTCAGCCTCCTGAGTAGCTGGGGCCACAGACACGCACCACCATGCCAGGCTAATTTTTTTTTTTGTATTTTTGGTAGACACGGGGTTTCGCCAAGTTGCCCAGGTTGGTCTCAAACTCCTGGGCTCAAGCAATCCACCTCAGTCTCCCAAAGTGCTGGGATTACAGGTGTGAGCCCCCAAGCCCGGCCTTTCTGTACCTATTTCATTAAAATACGGCCTGTTTCTATTTTATCAATAGGTTTTTAGATTCAAAGCCAACTTGGAGTGTTCAAACTTGTGTCTCTGCACCCATCTTAGAAGCCCAAAGTTGCCATAGACTCCAAGACTCTTGCCATGTTGGGTTCTACCCTTTGTCAGGATAATGCCTGGGTTTGGAAACTTAGGCCCATTATTTAAACCTGGGGCTTAATTGGCCCAAACACACTATTTGGAGGAAGGGCTAATTCCTTCTCTTCCAGCTATTTGGAAATACATACTATATTATTATTAACTATAGTCATCCTACAGTGCTACAGAACACTGTCTAGCTGTAATTTTGTAACTGTTTTTTTTTTGGGTTTTTTTTTTTTGAGACAGTGTCTTGCTCTGTCACTGAGGCTGGAGTGCGGTGATGCAATCATGGCTCACTGCAGCCTTGACCTCTCAGGCTCAAGCCATCCTCCCACCTCAGCCTGATGATGAGATGGGACCATAGGCATGCGCCACCACACCTGGCAATTTTTTTTTTTAATTCTTTGTAGAGATGGAGTCTCACTATGTTGCCCAGGCTGGTCTTCAACTCCTGGACTCGAGCAATCCTCCCACCTCGGCCTCCCAAAGCGCTGAGATTATAGGCATGAGCCACCACTCCCAGCCTAATTTTTTATCCTTTAACAAATAGTTTCCTATCTCCCCTCCCCCCTGCCCTTCCCAGTCTGTAGTAACCTCTGTTCTACTTTATGTACTTTCAAATAGCCAGAAAAGAAGATATTGAATGCTCCCAACACAAACAAATGATAAACCTTTGAGATGATGGATATGCTAATTACCCTGATCCAATCAGTATACACTGTACGTACTGAAACATTACTATGTACCCCTAAACATGTACAATTATGTGTCAATTTTAAAAAACTTTTCTAAAAAAGAGCTAATTCCCTTGAGTTGAGTCAGACTTTCTGAGTTAGTACATCTCCTGCTGTCTGGGTATCGAAAACCTGCTGTGCCTCCTCCCCGTAGTTGGAAAATTAGTCCACAGTGAATGTGAAATGCACCTGCCCTGAAGTCTTCCCTCAGCCATGAGATTTGGACAGAACCGGATCCACGCCTTAGAGATAAACCACTGGTGCCTTAGCGACAAGCACTGGGTTTGCAATTCTATGCAGAACTCAAGCCCCCTGGCTTCCTCTCTCCCGAGACTCTCTTAGTCCACAATCAGACCTTTTTTTATGTTTTTTTTTTGAGACGGAGTTTGCGCTCTCCCAGGCTGGAGCGCAGTGGTGCTCTCTCAGCTCACTGCAGCCTCCTCCTCCTGGGTTCAAGTAATTCTTGTGCCTCAGCCTCCTAAGTAGCTGGGACTACAGGCGCACACCACCATGCCCGGCTAATTTTTATCTTTTTAGTAGGGACGGGGTTTCACCATTTTGACTAGGCTGGTCTTGAACTCCTGGCCTCACGTGATCTGCCTGCCTCGGCTTCCCAAAGTGCTGGGATTACAGGTGTACACCACCTCACCCGGCCCAATCCTTTACCAGTGCACACCAGGCCCAGACCTTTACCAGGCGCACACCACCTCACCTGGCCCAGATCTTTGCCAGCGGAGAAGCTGGAGGAAAATAACAAAAACAAAAACAAACAAACAAACAAAAACTGGTTCACAGGTCAAAACACTAATGATGTCAAAATTATGGTAATAAGGTCCGGAGACAAATAAAATTGGAAAGTATGTCTAAGAAATATCCTTGGGTCTCCTTTCATTTTCTTTCTGTTTGGTTTCATGAAACTGGGTTTATGGAACACAGAAGTACATGGTTTTGAGTTTATCATAGAATAATGAGGATTATTATAACCCAAAGCGAGTGCCCCTGAGTACACAGGTGCCCTCCTCAGCTAGGATCAGGGCTCAGTAGCAGCAGAGTCACTGAAATGTGGGTGGGGTCAGGGCATATTTTCTCAGGCAGGTGGCATTTTTGCAAACTGGGGACATAGGAAGACGTAAAAAATTTTTACAAGAGCCCAACCCTTAACCATATTGAAGGAAGGCACTAAACAAAACATAGCATCTTCAGTCCCGATTAGTACCATGACTTGAGTCTTACACAGTTAGAATACATGATTAGTCACATCGTGCCTCCCAGGAATAAGCCAAGTTTATTTTCATGTGTGCAGGAAAATCCCAGAGTTAGCAATGTGCTCCTAAAATAAATTCTGCATTTTAAAGGAATAACTGCTTGCATGTGGGAGGCGGCACTCAGCTCTTTCTTGTCTCCTAGATGATATCCTATGGGGCGCTGGGTCAAGGTAGCCAGAAAGTTCAACAAATCAAACATAAATGTCCAATTTATCTTCATGGGATTTTAAATCAAAGATGAACGACGGACATTTAGTAGCACATGGAACCAGTAAACATGACTCACGCACCCCTAATAAATTGGAACGGGTAATGATAGGAACCCAGGCTGTCTTGGATCCCCACAGGGTCTTCAGTCCACGGACTTCCAACTCTTTCCAACTTCCCCATCCACACATTAGTGGATTCCAAGAAACATAACAGTCTTTTCTAGAATCTCACCTACCCTTGATTTTGTCTAACCCAAGATGAGACCCGGAGGCTTATTCTGAGAGATGAACTAGGAACTAAGCCCCCAAGAGACTGGTTTTGTCCCTCACAGTTCTGCTGAATCTTCAGTCCATCAGCCCAGGACCTGTTGAGTTTGCCTTAAAACAGAAGTTCTCCTCTTGTCTTACCTATTGCTCAGACTTTAGCAAGATCAACAAATCAGGGACATACCCTCCCAGGGACACGGAAGACTTCACTGTGGACCTCATCAAGGCCTGTTGGTAATACATGATCTGGAAGAGACACAGTTGTCAGAAGGTGTTCAACCCCCCACCCTTCAGGGTCACTACACACAGCCTCCAAACCCAGAAGCCATTTACCCACAGCCGCACCCCATGCCCAAAGCCAGTCCCCTCAGTACCAGTGGGTCAGGCCCACGGTGGACAGACGACCACAGACTTCAAATCAGTGGCCTCCTTCAGCCATTATGTATTAGTCTGGGAAAAAGCATCAGCAGAAAAAAAAAAAGTTGTAAGGAGCATTCAACTGAGACACGGGGACAAATACCTGACTTTTCCTTCACGTGCCTCTGGCTGACAGAAGCAGAGAGTGGTCCCCACCACAGGTGACATCCTTAAACTTCCTGATTCTGCAGCATTGGCCAAAGCAAGTTATCCCCTCCTCAACCACCTTCTTCCACGTTCAGATAGCTAACCGCACATCCCACCTCAATGCCCAATGCTTCCCAGGACTCTGTCTTGGGCCCCAGACGTAAGATTTGCCAGAATAGGCAGTTTGTCACCTTGGGTACATTCTGGCCCTGTAATGATAGGCACAGGGGCCACGCTGGGGATGTAGAGTCTCTGCAGCCTGCAGCATTGGTTCCACAGTCCTCTCTGGCCACCCCTCAGCTCTGTGCCTTTGAGGGGTTTTTCAGACCCAGCCAGAGCTTACAAAAGATGCTTCATCACTCTGTGCCATCCATGAATTTGGAAATAATTGTTTGAACACAGCACATGGTTTTCATTTCATTACCAAGCGCAGAGGGTAAAGCAAAGTACATATAATCTGTCAGAAGATTTAAAACCATTCTTCACTGGAAGTGGAAGACTAATTACCTCTTTTTTGACAGCAATGACTGTTTGTTTCTGTAAAACAAAGAAACAAAACCATTAAACAGATGTCATGAAATCATTACAGCTCAAACACCCATTTGAAAAATAAAAATCCTTCCCCATGAGAAAAATGCCCATTTTTTGTCTTTCTTAAAAGGTAGGATTTCCTTGTTTCTACTGCCTCCACTCTATTCTATGTAACCCCTGTGGAATAAATACCAACTAAGAGATTTGGCAAGCGAAGGAGCAGAATTTGGCACTGTAACTTTGCTTGCCTAAAGGCCAAGATGAATTAAGGACTAAGTTTGGGATTGGTGCCAATTTAGCATAGTGCCTACAGAATGATCTGTAGAGTGAGAGATAAAGATTCCCATCTGAGATATGGATTAAGAGAAAATGGGGAAGGCCAGGTGTGGTGGCTCAAGCCTGTAATCCCAGCACTTTGGGAGGCCGAGGAGGGAGGATCGCTTGAGCCCAGGAGTTTGAGACTAGCCCGAGCAACATGACAAAACCCCGTCTTTACTAAAAGTACAAAAAATTAGCCAGGCACGGTAGCGTGCACCTGCAGTCTCAGCTACTTGGGAGGCTGAGGTGAAAGGGTCGCCTGATCCTGGGAGGTTGAGACTGCAGTGAGCCATGATCATGCCACTGCATTCTAGCCTGAGTAACAGTGCAAGATCTTGTCTCAAAAAAGAAAAAAAAGAGAGAGAGAGGAGATAGAAAAACTAGCACAGAGCTTGGGTGTTGGTTTCTTTTGTAACGGGGAGAGCTCTGAAGCAATGGTGAGATGCATTCCTCAAAGAGTCATAACAATTTGATCAATAATATAAGTTAAAAAATAAACCAATGTTACCCAAAATAAAGCACATAATGGAAAGGCTTGAGGCCAGCATGCACTGCGTGCACAGCTCCAAGAGGGGCTTCATGTTTAGGCTCTTAGAAGCTCCTGGAAGCCATTCAGATCTATCTCTGGCTAAAATACATAGATCTGCAGTTGCAGTGGGTTGTGCTTCGTCTGTGCTGCTTTTCTGCTCCACAGAACTCTTGGAGGTTGGGCAAGGTGGTGATCCCAGCCTCAGTTCTCCCGGGTTTGGTTGTGTCCAGGGGCTGGTTGGTACTGACTCTTACACTTCAAGAGGAGCCTCTTTTTTGTTGTTGTTTGTTTGTTGTTGTTGTTGAGACAGAGTCTCACTCTGTTGCCAGGCTGGAGTGCAGTGGTATGATCTCAGCTCACTGCAACCTCCACCTTCCGGGTTCAAGTGATTCTCCTGCCTCAGCCTCCCAAGTAGCTGGGACTACAGGCACGCACCACTACGCCCAGCTAATTTTTGTATTTTTAGTAGAGATGGGGATTTACCATGTTGGCCAGGATCGTTTCAATCTCTTGACCTCGTGATCTGCCTGCCTTGGCCTCCCAAAGTGTTGGGATTACAGGCGTGAGCCACCTTGCCCGGCCTCACGCAGAGCCTCTTAATTCCTGCCTTGCTAATATCTGTGCTGCTTAAGCCCCCCAAGTCTTCACTTGCAAAAGAGTCGTAAGTCTGAGGAGGCCACTACTTCCTTTGAGCCAGTCAGCAAAATAAACACTGGTCCATGAGCCCACTGAAAAGGACTAAAGGAGAGTCCAATCTAGACTGTGATATACTCGTCTCTCCTTTCTAATTCAGGCTGGGTTTCATTTTGCTTCCCTGGATTGCTTTTCTATCTTTGCTTTTCACAAGAAATCTTTTTTCCTGCATAAGGGATTAGGAAGAGTTATCTCAGAAAGGTAAGGCTCATGTAGTTCTTTATGTTTTAGGCTCTTATACATCCTGACTTGCTCCTTCATAGCACTGATCACCATTTGAATTTTATCCTTATTTGTGTGACTCTTTGTTCAATGTATGAACCAATATGAAGGCACCATTAAGGGTAGGGGGCCATATCTATCTTCCCTAGCACAATGTCTGATGCAGAGTAGATGCTCTGTAAATATGTAATAAATGATGACTTCATTGTGCTTGGGGGCCTACAATAATGGGGACATTTTCTAAGCTTAATAGCATTTTTTTCCACTAAAAAAATGGAAAGCACTCCCCAAATGATCCAAATGCATTGGCAACCATACTTATTTGATCCCATTCTCCTCCAACATAAGGCACTGTTTCAGAAGATGCACATTTCAGGTAGAAAAGGACCGTGGGGCCAGAGTGGACTTACATTTAAATCTAATACTGTATAATTACTTCCTTCTGTTGGAGCCTTCCTGGAGTGGGTTATTCAGAATAGCATCTACTGGTCTATGCCCTCTGCTCAAAGGGGGAGCTGTACTTTTACATAATGATAACTGCCTAGCAACTACTGTGAAGCAATTTACACTTCTTTTTGAGCCTTTACAAAGCTTAAGGTAAGGAGATTTTATTATACTCATTTTTAGCTGAGGAAACAAAGCTCCTGAGAGGTAGTAAGTAACCTTCTCAACACCTCCTGGTCAGTAATTGGATGGGCCAGGATTCATATCCAGCTCCTCCCTTTGCAAAGCTGAAGAGTGATTGTTGAGAAACACAAACTAGCTGATCCTGTTCACTTTCTCCTCCTAGCCTGCTCTCTTCCCATTCCTTCCTTGCCCTGAAGCTGAGAGTGCTACAGGATGGAATGACTCTGTCCAGTGACTTAATTTAAAATGTAAACAAGGCCGGGTACAGTGGTTCACGCCTGTAACCCCAGCACTTTGGGAAGCTGAGGCAGGCAGATCACCTAAGGTCAGCCTGGCCAACATGGTGAGCCCCTCATCTCTACTGAAAATACAAAAATTAGCCAGGCATGGTGGTGCACACCTGTAATCCAGTTACTTGGCGGCAGGGGGGAGGAGGGGGCGTGGTGGTGGAGGCGGGAATGATGCAGGAGAATTGCTTGAACCCAGGAGGTGGAGGCTGCAGTGAGCCGAGATCATGCTATTGCACTCCAGCCTGGGCGATAGAGGGAAACTCCATCTCATAATAAATAAATAAATAAAATGTAAAGCAAAAGTGAATTAGAGCCTAACACAAGACAAACACAAGTACCAGAAACACTCTGTCCTTAACACTCATGATGGTGAAGACCAGAATCATGCTAGGCCCATACTCAGCAGCCAGTGTCTTAAGCACCTCCAAGGAGTCCAGACCCCAGCATCAAGCTTTCTGCCTGTCGGCCACTGTTCTGCAGCCAGAACCTGGGGGCACAGGGCTCCTGAGTGGACGCACCCTGGCTGCCTGGTGTTCTCTGGGCCCTGCAGGGAGCTGTATTTGCAGGACTTTCGGCCATGCTCATTTCCATTCTGCCTCTAGGGGGTCTTCCTTTGGCCTAATATACTTGCTTCTAGGGCCATTATCTCAGTCTTCAGGGGTTTACAATTTGTATACTCCTGTTCGCTTCATTTGATTTTATTCTCTCCCTAGGGCTCTGCCTCTGCACTATAGTTTGCTATTTTGTTTTCTGATTCCCAGAATTACCAGTTACCTTCTGGGAATGGAACTGCAGCCTGCTCTCCATTAATAGGATTTGGTTGAAGGTGAGACTTTCCCACCTCTACCTTGGATCGTCCACATGAATTTTAGCTTGTATTTCTAGCTTTAAAAATAGCTGTCCAGGTTGTGTACGTTGAAGGACAGTGGCTGCGGAATGTGTGGCTTTGGCTAGATTGAAATCATGGCAGGTCCAGAAAATGATGCCCAATCCCAGGCACTAAAATCCATTTCAACTTTTAGATGCTCACCAGGAGAATGAGTTGTGTACTGGCCACATATGGAGGCATTGTTTTGATGACCTTTCACTCCAAGTCAAGATCTAAAAAAACTCCAGCTGTGAAAGCAACATAATGGATTCTAAACTGTCTGTGCCTCCTCCATTAAGTTCTCATGCCTGGAGAAGCTCATGTCAACTTGTCATGTGATAATTCAATTTGTACAATAAATTATGAACCTGGAAATATTAGCCGTCCATGGGATCTGCTTCCTCTAGGTTGACATACAGGGATCTCTGCTCTTCTAGGAGTGCGTGCAGGGAGAGGACAGTGAGGGAAAACAGTCCTGAACTTCTCTAAAAGGTGAAGAGACAATTTGATTTGGAGGGAGTGGTGGAGAAGAGATTCAGCAAAGAGTATGGATGGTGATACATGCCTGTGGTCCCAGCAACTGCTGGAGGCTGAGGCCAGAGGATTGCTTGAGCCCAGGAGTTTGAGGCGGCAGTGAGCTAGGATGGCACCACTGCACTGGAGCATGGGTGACTGAACAAGACCTTGTCTCAAAAAAGAAAGAAAGAGAGAGAGAGAGAGAGACAGATAGAAGGAAGGGAGAAAGGGAGGAAGGGAGGAAGGGAAGAAGGAAGGAAGGGAGGAAGGGAGGAAGGGAGGAAGGAAGGAAGGAAGGAAAGAAGGAAGGAGAAAGAAAGAGAAAGAAAGAGAGAGAAAGAAAGAAGGAAGGAAGGAAGGAAAGAAAGAAAGAAAGAAAGAGAGAGAGAGAGAAAGAAAGAAGGAAAAGAAAAGAAAAGAAAGAGAGAGAGAGGAGGGAGGGAAGGAAGGAAGGAAAGAAAGAAAGAAAGAGAGAGAGAGAGAAAGAAAGAAGGAAAAGAAAAGAAAAGAAAGAGAGAGAGAGGAGGGAGGGAATGAAGGAGGGAAGGAAAGAGAGAAAAAGGAAGGAAGGAAGGAAAGTAGGAAGGAAGGAAGGAAGGAAAGTAGGAAGGAAGGAAAGAAATAGAAGTATATGGGCTTTGGGGGTCAGACAAAGGTTAAAATCCTAGTCCTACCACTTCCTGGCTATGACCTTGGATGAGTTGCTCAGCATCTCAGAGCCTCTAATTTCTCATTTGTAAAAGGAGAATAGAAAAAAAGAGGGACTAAATGAGATAATAGACATAAGGTGCCTGGCACATAACAGAGACCCACACACAGAGCCCACTCATTAGGGCTACTACACCACCACTGAGCACGTGCACGCCACAATTTTAGCCCTCATCGTAAGATACAACGCAGGATTCACAGGCAATATTTGGGACCTGCTTATGTGAAAAAGATA